GGGTGGACGGAGAGACAATGGTTGGTGCAGTCCGAGGGCTGCATTTGGTCCGAAGGTGTCCAACAAGTCCAATTCGTGCCCCGAATGTCCGTTGACACCGTGCACACGTTGGAGGCGGTTGGGCGTTGACGTTGCAAGGTGGGCGCAGCTGAGATTTGCGTGCCTCACGTTTGGCTTTTGCAGCGATGATGCAGTTAGTTTCGTAGATCGCTGTACCTGTCTTCACTGTCTTCCTCCCACACGACACCCACCTTCACTCAATCAGCTCTAGAGGGAAAACGAACTGGCCAGTGATGTCACATTACTCGGCTGAGAGCAGGTGGGAGGCGCTGGCAAGATCGAGTTTGGAGGAGGTGGTGAGCGGCAGTACGCCACTTGTGATAGTGTGGCATGCCAATATTTATCATCGGAGTCAACTGGGCGCTTGTAGAGTTTCATTGTGACTGATTATTTACTCATATTGCTGATAGAAGAGATGAGGCGAATTATAAGGAATCAGTTAAGGAGTAGAAGATGCGATTGCTGAAACAAGAATTATATTCGCCTACCGAGACAGCACTATGTTTCCGCCTGGATTCTTAAACATCGCTCAACAAGATCTAAACAAAATCCGAAACTTCCTTGAGAAAACTGGTCCCATATTTCTGGACTCTTCTGCGCCGCATGCATCTGAATGTTTGCACTCTTCCACCCCCAACTCTAACCGGTGAATCGTCTCTATGTAGGTCCCCACCATCATCACCACCACCAACATCATTGTCTATATTGGCCTTCGCATTTTCCGTTTACTTGGTTAAGACGCAGGTGTGGGGAGGAGAAAAGGAAGTTGCATTGATCGCTACCCAACTTTTAGGCGTGCAGTCGCAAATAAAATGTAACTTTTCGAGCTGTTGAAGCCTACTCCATACAAAAGGCAGCGATGAATCAGCGAGAAGAGACCAGTGGCTCCGAGCTGACAGAGTCATATCTGCCTAGTAGTCATTCATACCGAGGCGAAACTTGACAGTGTCCCCTAAAGCTATGTGTCGGTCAGGTTAAACCAGAGGTGGTTTACAAAGTGTACGTATGCAGCCCATTTAGGTGGCTCGGGCTGAGAATCTCGCGCCACAAACATGCCTCTTTCGCGCCAGCCAACCCTTCGGCATCTGGCATGAAGGCTGGTCAGCAGACCCAAAATTTTTTTTCTCAGTGCCTTGCGCGCCCGATTAAGTTATCACGCCGGAGCACTGTGCAATGAATCCAAGAGCAAACTGGCCACCCCGCCTCTCCTATTGGCTGAACCGCGTGTGCGCACGTGCTTGCGCGCGCCTGCGAGTCAAGGCTGCTGTGGGCGACCGTGATACTTACCATAAGATCAATATGCGCTGGTAATAGTGCCGCCGTTGTTGCCAGGACTACTACTAAGTACGTGTGTGTGTGCTTGTACGAGACACATTGCGTGCCAGTAGCTGCAGCCGCCAGCTTGCGCAATCGCTTCTGTGTGGGCCGCGTGTGTGTGCGAGCGCGTACACATCAAGGAGTGGCTGTTCCGTCACCAGCAAAAGTGTGGAGAGACTGGGATCGGGAAAGGGAAGGCGCCGACCGGTTGACGGAAGTACGACGCGAGCGTCACTTGACCTTGTGGGAACAAAAAAAGGTTGAGCTACTTACGAATGGTCAGAGGGGGGTGGACTGTAGCCGCATTGGAAGATCTTAAACAAGGGCAGAGCAAAAAGCATGCCTCTGCCGACAGGTGAAACTGTTTGTGACGGGTATCTTTGTGGTGCTGCGCCACTAATAAACATTTTGAATGTACCGCGGGAGACGAGCTTACCGGAGGATTAGTTGGCTATGCACCAGGCGATCCTAAGTCAACCGATGTTTCTGTACATATCCGTAACGTTCTCGTGGCTACACAGTTAATTGTGCAAGCTTTTGGTGATGATCCCTATGTAGCAGTACGGATTCGTTCATTTCGCGGTCATTAATGCGTATAAACTGTGACCCCGCTTGCCCACATATATGTGGTTGTGAATATGCTTCCGAATAGGCTTGCCCTGCGAGTGTGCTGGGTCGGAACGAGATCCAGATTGACTCATAGCACGCGCGCGTTCATAGGGTTCCGCTGGGTTCGCACGAAGACTCAACTACTGCCGTGTATGTGTACTGCACGCCGTAGACGAAGGCTGTCACGCCGCATCAGTCACTGAACCCATTTTCACCACGGTTCGATTGACAAGTCCAAACAGTCAGCTGTACAGGAAAGGGGTAAGAAAGGGTGGATCGGTTTTGGCAGAATAGCATTGCCGGCAAAGACAAGAGAGACCGGAATGGTCATTTATGGCCTACTGGGCGTCGTCAGCCAGTCATACCCAGACCCAAGGTGTGCAACACCTGGGGCTCGATCCCGTGACCTGTTTGTTAAAAGTCCAACGCCCTAACCTCTGAGCTACGGCCTCGCTGTCCTGTCGGCTGCGACCGGGTATACACAATGAATCGGGTCGTGCCTGGCACGTGCGGAAGGGCTACCTAACTTTGTCGGCCACAATGTCCATGCCCACTGTTCGGTGGTCTTGACTATGTTTTGTTATGGCATCACGTGCTCCCGGTTCGCATATCCTGGGATTCCGCGCTGTGCTTTACAGGGCGTGAAACCATCAACAATTATTAGAGTCACATCGCTATGGAAACACGCCACGCGGCAAGGCAGGAAGGTGAGCTCTCTTGGGCAGCTGTAGACAGCTTCACTCCCTTCTATCGTACGCTTTTAATTGACCAGGTCTCCAGGGTTGGGTGTCTTGCAATACAGGTTAAGCAGGCATTCCCGCACTTCGCCGATAAGAGTTCTGACTGTTGTCACAAATCCCTTCAAGGCACGGCCCAGGTCCGTCCTTGTATACTCTCACTCCGCTCCCCTGCAAGGCCCAAAAACGCGGAGGTTAAATTCAATCAAAGAGGTATGTCAACAGAAAGCGGACTAGTAAAGGGATCTTTTATTAGCTTATTCGTCATAGCTAGTCGACTGTACTCTAATCACAGGTCCCTGGGTCTGAAGCCGTTTAGAGGCGAACTGGAATGCGCCGTCCTACCAACCGGCTGCAAACATACGGCATTTTGGCCTCGAATATGCGGTAAACACTGGACTGGTGCAGGGTAGTCGTAGTTTGCGGAGCTAAGTCTGAGTCTGGTTGGTAAAAGTTGGACTTCGTGAGGAAGTGTCGTTGCATCTGTCTGATTGCAGGAAAAAGCTGGCTCCATTTGGTCTTACACCTCGAAGCTAGAGCCTTCGTAGGCTCTTTTACAACGAAAGGTAATCGGTGAGGAAGTTAAATTAGGTGAGACACAGGATATGACTGGCTGCTTGCGGTAAATAAGCCAGAAAAGATCATTTTAGTCTTCTTAGTCCCTGTCAACAGTTCTTCTATAGTATACAGCCTTAGAATATCTTTCTGCTTCATAGCTTCCGAATAGTTCACGTTCCAGGCTTCCCAGCAGTTTAATAACAGAGGATAAAAATGAAATTATAAATGGAAGTTTTGATCGACCTTTGTCCGTCCACCACAATGATTACTGATTGGCCGTCTTGTAATAAACATTGATTGCCGTAGCCTGGACTCCAGAACTAAAGGGTGTCATTCCCCCTCCCCGTTTTCTAGACAAGTGAGGTCGCTGCGACATCGTGTAATATTCATCACAGATCTGTTTGTCACGGTGTTGTGTTGGAGTCAATGACTGTAAGCAATCTATTCTGGCTGCTCAGAGCAGAAAGTAGAACGCTGGAGACCAATTGGTTAGTCTCACATGTCGTCCTTCCTTCATGCACTGACAGAAACCGGGTGTTTTTACCCTGTCTCTGTGTTTTACATATGGTAAGGCTACTTGTATATTTACGTGATAACAATTACTATATGTGGAATAATAAATACGTAGACTGTCTGCCGTAAATAAGGGGATCACCTCTGTTCGTGTACGTAAACTCGTCTAGAGTGAGGTAGACTTTTAAGCCTTTTTCCTGCCATCTTCCTACACTCGCCATGGCAAGATGGATTCCAGATTACTGAAGATTGGGTACGGATGCAGCAGCTGGCAAGGCTAAACAGATTCCGTTTCCTGGCTTCAGTTGAGCCAGTCCTTTATGAAGGGTTCAAGGATCTCAAGTAAGTGAGAGTGCGACAAGAGATAGAAGGGTCGCTGTTGCCCAAACCCTGAGCAGGAGTCATGAACTCCAGCAGTTGGCAACCTTCGAGGCCACGACCGTTGAAGCATCGTTAGAACTTTAAAGCGCGTTTACTTAGTCTTGAGTAAGCGCTGAAGACGAACTGGACCAACCTCTCTGTCCTCTCCGTCGTACGCTAGTGGTCTGACGAAGGTAAGCTGGCCGGAAATGAGATTGTGCGCAGTGGCTGATCTAATGCCAAGCCGCCGTATAACGCGGCTCGGATGTTGCAGAAGTGAGCGGTGTCCTGTTAAGAAGTAATCATTTCATTCTGACATCCCATTCCATTCATGACAGTAATACGAAGAAGTAGTCATTTCAACTTCCGGTAAGGTCGCAGTTGGTAGCCAGGAATAGGGAAGCCGACGCTGACCTTAACCCTAATCCTAAACTTAACCCTAACCCTAACCTCAAACTTAAACGTTAACCGTTAAACCTAACGGCAACCCTAACCCTAACCTTGATCGAAATCGTAAACGTAGCCGTAGCCTCTTGTTCCATGGGAGAATCGCGTTAGCCAGTTAGTTGGTAGCCTCTCCTGTGCAGACTGACGGTCTGTCGTGAAAGTTTCAAGCTGATCAGGACGATTATAGTGAGTAGTGCACTGAACTGCCACGGGAGGGAGCGCCTCAGTATCAGTCTCTCCCCCGCCCCCCCCCGTACAGCAGTGGCCTGTCCGGGACTTCCGGTCGACTGGGCATGATATTGGACGTTGCGATTGTCGTGTAGGCACACCGATACTGAATTCCAAGGTGCGGTGTCCCAAGCAAGGCATGTTGACCCGTCGAAGCCCTGGCTTGCTTGTCTATCGTTTCGCCTTGTTGGCTTCAAAAGTAACTGCTTCTGCCTTGACAGCCAGTCGCTATATCTGCCAGTCCTGTGCAAGTTGTTCCCTGGAGACACTTGAGAGAGTTTTTCAACTTGTCCTTGTAGCGCCATTTTGACCATTTTCTCGGAGACTGCTGAAACGATGCCACTGTCGAAAACTCGTCCCGGCATGCGCAAGTCAGCCACTTTCACCGTCTGTCTGTTCCATCATCGTTGAATCCACTCCAACATGGCACCGGTGCCCATCGCACCAGTCAACGCCAGCACCAGCTCCCTGAAACTTTACCTTCGAAGACCTGCCGCCTGCATTTGACTTAACTTTTTCGCTTTGTGGATTTCATGCGCGCACGCGTTTTCCGTCCCTGGCACGCAGGCCACACTACGAGTCACGTGACCACCGCTTTCAAGTGAACGAAGCATGCGTGCATTCAGCTCCGATGGCAGCCAGCTGCATGCACACACACACACACACAAATCCAGAAATCATCCAATCGTTTCTGTAAGCGGATACCGACGGGCTCTCAAGTGAGACTTAGTCACTCGCACTCGCACCATACTTGTGGGCAGACGCGAGTGCAGGCCTGTAGCCAGCCGCACTCCGAGGGCTTGGTCCACTACCTATACAGAATAAACGCTGCCTGTCCCATTTGGCTCCTAAACCGGACGTGTCCCCAGCACTGTGGTGATTAGGGTACACTCATTATCCTATCCGCAGCAGACTTTCCAGGATTTTGCACCGTGCAGTGGTGTCCTCAGGATGACAGTTCATGCTGAGAACTACACCACGGAGGTTGCAGACTGAGTGCTGGAGTTTGCCAACGGCCTGGTTGGCTTTATAAATCGAGGTATCAACCCCATCGTCTATTCTGATGGTCCGTGAGATGGTGCTGCTCGAACGAAAGGATTGAACTACGCTGATAAGACATCTATTCCAGTCCCCTCTCCCCACTGGGAAGTAAGTAGCGCTGCTCCGAAATGAAGCTGTCAAATCTACCAAGACGTCTGTCAAACTCCACTATGCGTCAGGACTTTTGTTTAGTGGAAGGGCAATCAGATAGAGGGTGTGCGGTTTACGGTATTGCATGCTGCTCTCTCCATGGAACTTTTTTTTGTTTTGGGTGAATAAGGAGGATGGGAATTAGTTCCGGGAGTATCGGGCGTAAAGGCACGACAGTTCGACGTCGTACCCGACGATGCCCACCGTGTACTCCACAGCAAGGTGAGGCAGGCACGGCGACTTGCGTGTAAATTAGTTTACAGTGGGAGTGGACTTTCGAGGCATCTACTGCACTCTCTCCTCCTCCCTCACCCGCACCCGGTGTCAAGACATTGGCTGGAAGACCAAGGGAGGACGCAGGTAGATGGTGCTGCCGAGCCCGCGCCTCGACGTTCAACTCCACACCCCTGGTTCACAACAAACACTGGACCAGGGTTTTAACTAACAACAACAGCACCACAACGGGTCAGAAGGAGGAGGAGGAGGAGGAGGAGGAGGAGGAGGAGGAGGAAGGTGACTGGGCAACCATGCTCATTACCTGTATACCCATCGGGAGCGCAGACGCATTTACCGGCAGGGAATCAGGTGCCATAGCACAACTGCGTAGAGCCAGAGATAAGTCCTGGGCTGTCGGGAGGGACGAAGCAGAAGTGTCCTCATAATTCATCCATACGTTAGATGAAGACTGTCGGTTTATAGCTTATAAGCACTTATTACCACCCTCGTAGTTTTTGGTGTTACCTACGCTGCCTTTTCATGCATGGTAATTGTCGGCAGTGGTATACTCTTCAGTGTAAGTTTGTTCAAAATTCATCCAACCGCACCGGCGAACCTGGAAAGACCATATAGCTACAAAGCCGGTTACCGCCCACAGCATCCGGTACACCCGAACAGTGTGACTTTAAACAGTCATATGAACAAAGGCAATTTCTATTCCGAAGTTCAAAGTCTGTCTATTTCATTATTTTGAAAGGTCCACTTGGCAAGAAGGATTGGCGCCGAGCATGTCACGTGGCTTGAGAAATGGTTTAACATATGAAAAAATGCAATCGCTCTCTCTTTCACACACACACGCCTAAGTAACAAAAACTACTAGAGTCTAAGTTAATGACGCATTTAGTGTCCTGAACACAGAGGGCAGGTAAATGCTGACTGTGACGAAACCACCAAACTGACCTTGAAAATTCTGCATGATAAGCAAGCGCATCAGCAGCTGGGATCTGAAGGCCACTAAAGAGGTCTCAAAAACTGTATGGAAGAACATTTTAGCTAGCTAGAAGGATCAAATTTTCACTCGGGTCGGTTGGCTACTGGGCTGCCTAAAGGGAGGCAAACATTCCGGACTAAGCACTTTCATTTAAACGAACTGCGGGTAATTCGAGGGCTAGGTGGAGATTGTTGTTTCTTGCATTTTACGATAGCCAATATCCGATGCACAGGCAACGACCAACTTTTACTGTCAGTACTTTTGTGGAAGTGTTGTCATTCTCTCTTTCATGGGAAGCTGAGCAATGCATTCCTAAATACAGCTACTGAGTCAACCCAGACGCCTACAGAACTCTACTATGGCTATTCACTCGATTCCCCTCACCAGGTATAAATCCAAGCGAGGTGTTCTGATTACGTTATTGTACGCGGCTAAGAAGCAAACAAGATACGAAAGGTAGGCATGAAAACTAAACCAATTTCATTTGAGCTACCTCTGAAGCATACTGGAGGTAAAGAGGGAGGAGATAATCCCGGACATTGGGGATTCTGGGCATAACGGACAGTTCGGCATCTACGCCATCGCAAAACAGGTGAAGCTAGGGCGGTATAGCCATGTCAAGCTAATGGCTGACAAAAGTGTGCCCAAAAAGGCTAATTTACAGCACAATCGTTACGGCTGCTTACAGTCAAGTCGGATAAAAAGCGACGATACAAGTACAGCCCCAAGACCTCTCACAAGCAGCTGCGAACTAACCATGGTAGCTGGGAAGACCCCGCACAGAGTCAACTTGTGTGTTACATTGCTGGAAAAACCGGAACAGAAGTCTTCAAAGTCAACCGAGTAGCGGAGACCAAGGTGAAGTGAAAGGCACGCAATTCCCCAATGTAGTGGACGAACGTCTCAAGCACGCAAAGCCTGTCAATGTATGCAAATTTTCAATTGAGAATAAGAACGCACATTAGCCTCCTTGGGCGTATTCGGATACATCGTAATTCCAACTTGCTCATACTGCCGCTCAAATCTTAAAACTCTGTTTTAATCATCGAGACCATCCCTGCCATCACGAGAATCAGCACTGGAGCCGCCTATCTTTCATGTCTTCACCCTACCAGAGTGTTTCGATCCCGTTTTCTCCAGGCCGGACATCTCTGTCCACGCCACCGGGACAAAAACTGCACCCTGAAAGCCTCTGCCGTCAATGCGGACATTGTTGCGGCTTGCCAGCACTACAACCGCACATCCAAGTCCCGCGTGGCTCTGACTGGCGGCCTGTCGTTCCAGAACATTCACGCACTGCATTAACATATCCGGACACATTTGAATGCATGAAAACGGTAAGAAAAAGATCGCAGTCTCCGTCTATGTCACACTACTGGACAGTCTGGCTGCTCACACGCCTGGTCGGTCAAACACTTACACTTGTCAACCATCTGCAAGGTATGACACATCCATCACACAGGAACTACTCGACGCAATGTCATGCCGTCCTCAGGATGAACGAAGCGTCCTTTACGAGAACACGCATATCCAATTATGTGACAACGGCAATTTTTTCGTAACTGCTGATCATAAGCAGTGGGAGACCAGCACTCGTGCCGTAACGGAACGACCATCGATTCCGACTACATCCGCCATGTGCCCCACAGCGCGATGGGCGCAGGGACGGTAGCTTGTACGTGAAGTAAATTGTAATGGTAGTAAACTTGCGCTGTATCTACAGCACTCACTCCTCTTTCCCACGCTCTTGTGCTCGGTGTCAGGGGAGAGTCAAGAGGGCCGGAGACGGGAAAGGGCGAAATGTTCGACGTACGACGGACCAGGTTTTCACCAAACAAGAAGGGGGCGACTCGGATCCCGAATGAGTGAAAATGCTGTAGAGACCATGTTGAGAAGGAGGCATCGCAGCCTGACCCCCCGACCTGAGAGGAGGACCGATTTAGCGCATCAGTTGGCAATGGCCGTACGCAGCTGAATGATAGGTCTCGAAATTTATGACGTCAGTAAATTCTGCATGCTTTGTCGCCTTTGCTTTACTCAAATTTATTCCGGGAAAACACTTCGGTTTGCCTAGTACCTCCATTGCTCGGAGCTGGAGGGCGTACTCCGTCTCCAGGATGTGGGCAGCGATTTCAGACGACTGGTTTTCCATCGATACAGCCAGTTAGTGGCCCTGTACGCGTGTTCAAAGGTTTTCTAAAGCCTTGCCAGTACGGTACATGATGGCTTCGGATCGGTATGCAATCCCGACATTCGGGCTTGGGGCAATGTCTTCAGCTGTCTCCGAAGCAACTTTAACATATAATTTGGCGTGATATTGTCGATGTCCGTTGAAACAGCACAAAACGCCTTTGCTCAATGTCTACCTCTAATGCGAACGCTTCTAGAAGCGTTGATCTTACAACGCGACCCACTGCCTTGACGGAATGCGACGCGGACACAGTCAGGTAAGTTATAGACACCGACACCCCATGTACACACTGGTTAGGATACGTGTTCCTTCGACTCAGACGCACTCAACTCTCTCCTATTCACGACCTAAAATCGCCAGTGCCAGCAGCCAATGCTACCTGAGGCAGCAGTTCATCCATCCCATCTTCTGATAACCGTAACTAGATCCAATGCCTGTGGTGCATGAGTGCGCACAGTGTCATTACGGACTGGTCCCCCAACGTGATATGAACAAGTGGCTCCCCGACGTGGCTGAATTCGGTCGTCACGACATCCTCACTCAACTTCGCCTTCCTGTTTTTCCTTTGCACCTTATCTGGTCTACGGATACAAAGTGCGACTGCCGACACCCTGTTGCAAATCGAAGGGGATGTCGCAGACAAAACTCCGCCAGCAGATTCCAGGACCAAATTGTGCGAAGTGGTTTTACAAAAGTGCCGGCATCCCTGTTTCCCTGATACGATCCTCTTCATATTCTGACTGGAATCTTCACTCATTACTCATTTTCAGTGTTCAACACGGTCCTGAAATCCGTCTTGGTTCGCGGTCTGAGTGAAAGTGACTCCTAACTAACGCATTAGACTTGTTCCACATAGGACAAATTCCTCATTCCAATGCCTTCCATATTCTCCTCTGGTCTCCAAAGTACATTAGATACCTCTGTCGTCACATTGTCCCTCTGGTTGTTGTTTTTTTATTGGGGCGGACACGAAACCAGTTATTGAGACTCTTAGCTAGCTGTCACGCACATATTAGTTGCGAATATGTGAAACCATAGGTGGTAGTTATTAAATGTCGCATTTTGATGGACAACTGCATGAGCGTCTGGACCACGTGTCAGCGCTGCAACGAACATTCCAGCTCAAACACCTAGCAATTTTCTGCTACGATTGCAGCCCGCAATGAGGACTCCTTCCTCTAACACCGCAAATGACAGAAGAGTCGGCCTCGAATGTTGATAAAATACCAGGACTCGCTCAGCACATCAACCAGGCTGGTGCCTTATCATCGGCATTCACCAACTTCCTATGACGTGAACACCGACATAATCGAGCTCTACTTTGTCAAATCCAGGTCAGCTTCTCTACTTTTATTGCCAAGAACGCAATATCTCCATTTCCGATAGCAGTTCTTGCCTTTACAGACCTACGGTGTCATGTGACCCCCTCCGTGAAGCCAGGCACGGTACTGGACATAGCGAAATGAGGCATTCGGAGACGGCAGTCTTGTGGAAGCTTTGGAGTTCGGGGTGGGCTTTCAAAAACCGGCAAATAATTGAACTTGCATGGAGAAATGAGATCGTACCTGCTGCTAGGGACGCGGCTTTCCTTCGGTATACCCGAATGCGAGTAGGTGGATGAACATTCCCACACTGCTGCCGCCCATGAAATAACCTGCACCATCGATCGATGACTGCCTAGCATCCGAAAACGCTACCAACTTATCCGCCAAGGTAGTGGTAAGCCCTCTACACTGAGTGACTGTTCGCGACGTGAGTGGCGGCATTATTGCGGATAATCGGCCAGTCAGGCGCTGGCGTGAGCACTTTCAGCGCCATATCAACTTCGATACCAAACCCACCGCGCCATTGCCCTCCTCTGCAGTGGAGTCGCCTCCCTCTCCAACGTGTGCAGTGTCAAGCGACCCCCCTCCCCCCTCTGAAGGAGAAATCGCTGATGCCATACAAAGGCTACGCAACAACAAGTCACCCGGACAGGACGGTATACCCCCTAAAATCTACAAGTCTTGCGCCGACACTCCGGCGCCCTGGCTCCGTGAGGTGACTGAACAAGCGTGGAAAAACGAGATTGCTCCTGATGGCTGGTTCTCAGGCATCCTTCTACCTATCCTCAAGAAGGGAGATATGACAAGATGCGAGAACTACCGCTGCATATGCCTCATCGGCGTTGCTGTGAAGATCCTCGCTATTTACTTCTCAGACGATTCCAGGCTATACGTGACTCTAGGACGAGGCCCAACCAAGCCGGATTCCGTGCTGGACGTGGATGCGCGGACCAGATATTCACACTAAGGCGCATTCTCGAATTCCCCCATGGCTACCAGCAACCGTGGGCTGTCTGCATTTTTGATTTGCCGCCGCGTTCGATTCCGTCCGTCGTGAGTCCCTGCGGTGGATAAGGGCAAAAACCATGATCAAGGCCTATTATCGCTCCACCATTGCACAAGTTCTGATCCACAACAATCTTTCCCAACCGTTTGGTATTCGGTCTGACGTTCGACAGGGTTCTCGGGAAGGCCCTACACGATGCTGACGATGTTGAATTTACACCCGGACGCTGACCGACTGATCTCGACTGTGCCAATGATATCGCCTCACTTGCTTCAAATGTTGGTGATCTGTAGTCTATAGTGTCACGAGTGAACGGGGTCGCTAAACCGGTCGGTTTGTCCATAAACGCTGGGAAGACCAAAGTGTTTTCAAGCTGCATCCCTTACCAGGAAAAGACGCCTCTCGAGATTGATGGCTGTCAACTTGAAGTTTTAAATACCCCGGGTCGAGGCTGCTGCCAAGTGGCCAGAGTAAGAATGACATTGTCTCTCGAACTTATGCTGCCCAACGGCTTTTCTCAAGCCTTAGAAAATGTCTATGGATCCGAAGCGACCTCCCCATCGCACTAAGATTCGCGTGTACCGTGCGTACATCCGGTCTGTTCTTCCCTATAGTCGTGAGCCCTGGGCTGTGCGCGTGGAGGACAATCGAAAACTGGAGGCACTTGGCAACCACTTCTTGAGGAGCATCTTTCGAGTGAAGTACACCGACTTCGCTTCAAATAAGGCAGTCCGCACTCGCTGCAATGGCATCGCAAGGATAACCCAGGCCATCAAAGCAACGCGATTCAGGTGGCTTGGGCATGTTTTTCGTCGTCAACCTCAGGAGCTCAGCGTTACTGCCCTCGATCCGGTGCCCTTATCAAACTGGAGGCGTCGAAGGGGTCAACTCAAAACCTAGCTAAACACATGATGTGGTCCTCGGACCTTCGGTATTTGGCCTCCGTCGTTGGCGAACATGATGGGTTGAACCGCCTAGATCTGCCGCATATCGTCGCGCGCGGAGAGGTACGCTTCGAGACGTCGAGGCCGGCTAGGTCAGGCACGATTATTGTCGTACCAAATACAAGTACAGGCTAGCACCTCTGTCGCTGGTCCTATTATTCCTACTGTCTTTGAAGATGGATTCCTGCACGAGTTAGGAAGCTCAGAACAATTAACAGACCGTTCCGGTGCTCGAGCACTCTCCTTTTCTTATAAAACCTGCCGTCTCGACTTAGGTGGCATATAAGTCTGAAAATATGGCGTAAAAAACGGCATCTCCGCAGCTGTAGACGCAACATAGTCGCGACTTCTCAACCCTACCGTACATTTTGGCAAAAAGTACAGCTGCCAAGTACGTCGCACACAGACGATCGAACCACCCACTAGTTGGCAGAACACCTCAAACGCCTGCTCGCCGTTTGGGGTAACCGAAAAAAAATCCCAACCACTAGCAGGACGACCAGTTCCTAGTAATGCGTCGGGCCCAACAACCCAGGCTGGACACGACCACGTCCGTCGCAGTGAGTTCGACAACGCCCATCGAAGAGTCCAGAGCCGGACGACGTGGAGCTCAGCACGATAGAATGTCAAGTGACACTTCTATCGCGTCCGAAGAATGAAGACTGATGGGGAACGCGAGGCGACTTGGTCTGCCCTGAAACCTCAAGTCCCAGAGATTTTCGCCAGATGGTATTCGTGAAAATCGGTCCTAAGAGGGTGCCGCTATTAGATTAACTAAATGGAGGCCGAGAGTTGGACCAATAGGTAAGGTTGATAGGTCTGTCACCTTTACCGAGAACGACATTACCGATCGGCGCGGTGAATAATGCTTATAACAGACGCGCCCCACTAGCCAGGCGGACTTTAGGTAACCACGCAACTGTCGACGAGAAGTGCAACAACCCTATCTAGGACTCGCGATGTACGCGGAACCAGTAACCACATGGTGGTTACTTACAGACCTGGAGCCAGCCACCATTTTGTTTTTGCATGCCACAAGCGCACGAAAGTCAGCCGATCGGTGGCGACAGTTTCGGCAGAAACCCCGGACCAGACTCCTAATAAACACTACAAGAGTTCGGTCGATAAATTTGTTCGAGGCCCCTAATCTATTTGCCGAACAGGGACCATCACGGCAAAATCGGACCGGTGATAATTTCGCGAAGGCCGGTCAGAGCCTCCGAGAATTGGAGGGGGGGGGGTGGGATCGGCAATAGCCGATGAGCGTTGGCGACGAGGCACTAATAGCGGCGGCGGTTCTGGTAAGCGACAAAGGAATCCCTACGGCCGACTGACTCCCTTTGGTTGTTTGTGCTGATTACTAGCGTCACGTATTGAATGTGCAAGACTCGAGTCACCCGGCCTTACTGCGTGGAAACGAATGCGACAGTGGTCAGTCCGAGGCGACCACTTTACGTGCTACTTAGGTCGCGAGGACAACGCGACTCAAAGTGATTAGACCATACTCGACTCCATCTCCCTATACCAACCATCTTCGAGTAGCACGACTGTCAAGTCACCGCCCAGGTATCTGTGGTCCAGCAGAACAAGCGGGTGGGCTGGTGACTGGCCTACGGCAGTCTGTGGTAAAACGGCAGTCTAACAGTTGAAGTCAAGGCATTTAATAGATATCAGACAGAAACAGCTTCAAAAGGCAGAAATAAAATCTTGAAAGCAACCAAATGAGAAGAGCACGACGATTCCAGCGGGTGAGTAGTCGCAGGCGTTTGGACATCAGGAAGGACACACAGTTATAACTATGGGATTTCCGTGCATAGATGCGATTATTGAAACGTGGATGGCAAAACTGCGATTCGGCAGCAGGGTTTGGCAGGGTTTTAAAGGTTAACTTTCGACATCGTATTTACATTAACAATACCTATGCGAATTCTCTTTTTTCTGAAAATAATTTGAGGCGGCATCTAAGAAAGTATGTACAGGAATGAGTAGAGTAACTGTAAAAGTAAATGCGAATGCTAATTATGTACAGTGGCATATCTCCCAAGCTTGCCGTATAAAAATCCAGTCGCCAGCACTAGCACCATAGAAAGATGGGATACATGGATCGGTGGTGGGGCTAAATCTCGTAGCGCAGGTCCGTGCCTAGGAAAACGATGATCAGCGCGGTCTGCCGGTAGCCAGCCTTTTCAGAGCTGGAGGGGCAGAAACATTTGCCGAGACAAACTTTTCCTTTGAGGAATTTGAAGGAGCGCACTGCTCGCTCTTTTTAGGACGGTTTCGCCCAAGACTTGCACTGTGGTCGTCGCTCTTGGCGGGGGAACTAGAACTGGTTCGTACTGAAGACTTGGCGGGGAACCAAGCGTTCCCGCCTCGCTGCTGCTGGCCGGACTCTGGAGACTGCTTTTCGCCCACCGGTAAGGTGCTGTTGGACGTATTTTGTCCGAGCCGTCCGCCGGCAGTTGGGCATCGCAACTGCGAACATTTCCGCTTCAGGCTACAACCAGTGAACTGAGAATCCATGTCAGCGGTTCCACTCGACTGCTCCTCAAGAGCTTCGGAGTCTTCGGTACCAGGTGTGCATGCATTATTTCCTCGTCTTAAAGGACGGCGACGTCGGCGTGGACATCTGGCCTTAGATCCAAGATTCGAGTTGGGCCCGGACTTCTTGCGTTCTTCAGCCCTTGTGGGGTAAGAGGTATCACAGGACTCGTCGTTGCTGGCAGAGGCTGAGTCGGCAAATGTCGGAGAGGTAGACTGATCTACCGAGTCCTCGTGGCTGGTAGAATTGGTGTCGCTGCAGGACATGTTCTGCTCAGACGAAACCAAGCGTAAGGGGGCAAGACGGTGCTCAAGGCCTGCACAATTGGTGGCGACCGACGAGGATCTGGAACTTCTGTGATGAGGAAAATGTGCTTAGACACACGTCGGTCAATGCCAAGTCAGAACAGAACTAAACAGGACTGGAAAATTTGTGGGACGCGAGCTCTACCAAACACGTGAGACTGGTGAAACAGTAAAACTTCACTAAATACCAAACTCAATGAGATGGCGAGCTTAAAAAAGAATAATAACATGTTTATGCCGAAAGCACACTAGGGATAGTCGCAGCGTTGTCTGTTCATGAACTTTGTGGCCTGACCAATGACAATCATGAGCAAACAGAATTCAAGAAATCAAAACTTATGTGTAAATGCGTAAGTTACTTTGAGCGAAAAACAAAATACTGCAGCATAGAGCCTTACTTGTTCCGGTCAGCCGATTGTTGTTGGATATCACTAGTTTTTTGGCGATCCTCAGAACTCCCAGCGTCGTGTTCTTTTTGCACTTGACACGAACTGCTCACCGCGCTTGAGACATCCTGAACAGAGTTATCATCCGAACTAACTTCAGATGTTTTGGAAGACATGGCAGATTCAGAATCCTGTGGGACAGGTTGAGTGTTATACAAAGGGAATGCATGGCCTTGCATCGGAGGGAAGGCAGGGGGCCATAAAATAAACACAGGAGGTTCGACACTCGGTGTTGGGGGAAGAGGAGTAGGAAGGGGGACCAGGGAAGGCCTTGTGTTGGGGTCGTACACTACCGTAGGTTGAGGGAATAAATAAGGGGATATCGGGTTAGAAAGCCTCAGCACGTCCTTCGAACAAGGTGTCCTTAGAAGCGGTGGTTGACTGGCGAAACCGCGCGCGGAGACAACGATGCGATCCTTAGTTGAAGTCGAGGAACTTGTCTGATCACTGGGAGGACATAAAACAGACCCGCTACTTTGGGAAGAGGCAATGGACACACTGACGGCCGCATTTGACCCAGGTTGTGAGATTGGCTGGTGACTAGCTTTTGCCGAATGAGCGAATGGGACAATAATGTATGGCAGGATGGAATAAAGGTGCTGGGCGTGTATCCGCACACGCATGCGACTTTCTTCAGTCGTCTAAAACCCAACAACATGAGCGTTAGACCTTTTGACAGCCGAACGAAATACTACTGAAGATTTTAAGTGGCTTTGACCAGACTTACGTGGGATATTCGAATTATGCGAGCGAGGATTGAGTCGCCATGACTTCCAGTAGACGCAGTCTGGGAAAGAACTGCACTTTTTAGTACGGTGAAGGCGTACCCAAAAGCTTTCTTCACTTGAAGTGCACCATATGAGCGACGCCCAACATCATTACCTGCAGGTTAATTATTACAACAGTCCATAGGGTAAGTTGAAAACGAACAGTAACAATGTGCTTGCACTGGCTGATTGACTTACCGGGGCAAAGAGGATCCTCGATACAAAGAATCGACGCAGCGGATCCAGGCTCCATGTTCTTTTGTACTTCTTCCTTCCGAATGTAAGCCCCACCGTCGCGGACTCGAATAGCAGTAGTCATGTAGTTGAACTTCGAACCGTAAAGTTCGAATACTTCAATTAACAGCGTCCCCAGGTTCAAATCCTCGATCTCAGTGCGTTTGGGTACGGAATTCTGGGACGGAATAAGATACAAGAACATCGGCTAAACCACTTTTACGGCAATGCGGCGACAGCACTGAGAACGCATATTCATTGCAAGGTTACCTGAAGAAAACTGATGGTCATCAGAATCAGGGCGTAAGAGCTTATTCCACCAGTCCAAACTTCGTTTAAATCCCGCTGTAGAAGAAATTGCTTCAGAACAAAAACGAGGTGCTGCAAGCAAGGATAGACGCCTAGGTAATCGCGTATCATATCTGCGGCACGGACGCTGTTGATCATGTTGAAGCTGATGTCAACGTGCAAACCAGTGTCAACGTCCGTCAATTTAACAATGGGGACAGTGGCCCTCGAAAGGACCCGTATATCCGAGGCCACGCCGCTCATACGGAGGGCATTTTCAAGAGTTCGGAGAGGTAGGGCCTCCCACTTTCCAAAAATGACCATATCGATGTCGCTAAAGGGTGTCAAAAGCGAGTGAAAAGTTACCTCGTTGGAAGGTACAGTCCCGTCTTGTAACTCCCAAAGACATCAATCTAAAATGGTCGGGTCAGAAAACAGAAAAACGTACATGACACTCGGGCCATAATCGGTAAACTATATTCTTCACTTTCGCGACAACGATCTCCCTCACCCAGTGCTCCTCCGGCGTCGGGGATATGTACGTGACAAAATCGATGATTTCGTCATGCAATCTACAGGAATTTAAGAGGTAAGACCCAGGATTACCCTGAAATTCCGGGACTGTAAGTCTTATTCTCTGGCTTCCAGACCGCATCCGCCTCAAAAATACCGGGACGAGACTGCGGGTCTTTTTGCCTCGGCCTAACTTCGCACAACTGGATTGTTTGATACGGCGCCGGACGAGCAATGGCATTATTCATGTCAGATTTTAAAGACTTGGGGGATTCAAAAATGGAAAAAAATTGCTGGAGGGGCTAAAAATCAACATAAGCCTACGGCGAAAACTAGTTTACCAAGGAAACTCGGGATCCAAAAGGATGCCCCAACGTGTGAATGTAAAAATTCCGCGAACAGAAATGGTAAAACAAAAATCATGCCAGTGAATTCAAAATAATTTAACTTGCCTATTGCATATCGCGTAGAGCTTGCAGGGGAAAAATAATGCATAATTTATTTTCACCTTCAGAGTTCACTTGAAGGGAGCGAATATTTGGATGACTATATTCGGTAGTCGCGGATGATCAAGTTCAGCTTTGTGCGCTACCCGCGACTATTCGGTCACTCAAGTAACAGTGTCTTCTCATGATTTTATACTTGTTGGTCACTTTAAACAGTGAACTGAATGGTCTGTAGCTGGTAACTGTCGGATGAGAGACTGTTGGGTAGGATAGTTTCGCCGGACAATCAAAGTGACAACAAAAAGTTTGCGAATGCTTTCGTACATGTTTATTCGTTGAAAAAATAGAAAAGATAGGACTTGCGGGCCATAATTCCTTACAGACGTTTCCGTCTTAACAAATAGTCAGTTTTCGCGATGCACAATTCTTCTCCGCTATTTCTACGATGAATATTTGTGGTGATGAAACAAGCCTGCTTATTCCACAGAGTCCTTTCAATCCCTTCCTAACTTTAACTTCAAGAACGTTAAAACGCCATTATTTATGGCACATTATTCTCACCCAACGTTTTATAGACGGAATTTCGCTTCTACAAACAAATAACAAAAGATGTTTGATTGGTGCCTATCGTTATACTTGGTTTCAAACGATATCCAGGAGCTTTCTCTAGCGCTGAAAGATCAATACAATACATAGAATATAAATATTTGTTGGTCACGTCTGCGATTAATTGTGGCAATGAGGATGACAAGAAGTTCGAAACAGGTTTCGGATGTGTCCGTATGGAACAAGCGACAAAACTGAGTTCTTTGGATAATTGAACGACTGGAGGCATTTTAACAACAATTCCACATTGTGATCTGACTAAATTGAAGCCTGACACTTTTTTGAAAATTTGTATTCGCAGGACAGGACATATTTAGGTCAATTCGGACTATAATACTAAGGAAATAAGACTCCCGCCATGAAGGGGACATGGTAGATTGACCAAGAGCTTTATTCGACTGATGTTTCGGATTCCTACTCGGAACGATCATCAGAGACGATAGCAGATACGTGTAGTTCATGCACAAGGATTTGCAATATTCATATGATGCAGTCGCCATGTTACCGCATACCTATGAAAATTCACGACTCCCCCCTTCACCGGTAATTGTTGCACTTGGTGTGATGACTATTCGATGACCGACTTTCACGTCCTTAATTTCATCGCGGTTGTATGATGTTGGTGTGATGTTTGCTCGACCATCTGACCCACCGACCCTGGCGTTGGAAACAGTGTTCGCCTGTGCACTCCTCGCGTAACTAATTACTCCGCCTAGGTGGAGTCTCAGGGCCGAGTATAGAAGGGGAAGTTCGTTGCAATTGTTAACAGACAGGGGACCAGTGGACCATGACTCAAGCAGATTGCGGCTCACGCGGTTGTCACCCCTAGCGAGAATTTCGACTTCGTCGAATTTGAATGTATGGCTTGATCTGTATCAAGTCTCAGCGTAATTGCGCGTTATTCAGAGGGTATAGATTAAGGTTATTTAAGCGAATCTAGTGGGACAATGTTCCATGACATCTTGCTAATTTTGTGGCTCGAAATTGCATTAATTCGAAAAAGATATAATCCTGCTGCCTTCAGAGATTCCAGACTTTGATCGCATATTCAAGACGCTGCCTTACAAACGTACCAAGGACTGAGATGCCGTCTTCATCAAAACTGCGAATGCACGCCTGATGGCGTACAGCTTTACAGTTGCTCCGCCAGCCGCTCTACAACTGTGTATAGGAGGCTTTAGATTGTTTTTCATTCAAACCCCCGGATTTTTCCGTATTTCAGCTTTTTGAGCGGTATTCCGGTCAGATGGCAGGTGCGCATGTGAGTGGCCTGGCTTCGATTTCCGAGACGATGCATGGTGCGCTTTTCCAGTCGAACTCGAGAGCTATCTGCTGGACCATCCTTCCAATCCACAAAGATTTTCCTGGAAGTCCTCTCCGTCGGCACCACTATGAATGGCTTTCCAGATTTTATATCGTCTGCGATCATAACACATTCACAGTTGAACTCTTTTACACAAGCATTGATAAACAACAGAAAGGGGGTTGGTTCCAGCATGGAACGTAGTGAGACCCAATCCCTATAACAATGTGCCTTGCTTGTTACTGGCCTATACAGACTACTAGGGGACGAACGAAGAGGAAATTTTAGATCGATTTAAGAGGTTAATCTATACCCGTTACTGTTGACTTGTGCAGGAGTCGATAGTGTGAGACACTGTCGAACTCTTTTCTAAAATCAATGCAGACGGCATGCCCAATGTATTTTGCATCGAACGCTCATGTCCAGCTTTTCATCGTGTAAAGCAAGTTCGTTATACACGATCTTCCCCAACGAAAGCCGCATTGTGCATTGAACAAAAGGCTGTGTGTTCCCAAATAAATTATCAATGTCTTTTTAATGGTATTCTCAATGAATTTGTAGCAGACTCATCTCAGGCCGACGGATCTGTAGTAGGTTTCAAGAGCACGTCTACCACTTCCACGAACATGTGAAATGTGAGCTGTTGTACAATCCGTAAAGAAGTGCAGCATCAAACAATTTCTGGCACAAGACGGACAATCGATCAACCAGCCGTCGGCAAAGTTCGCATAGCGGTTTGGCTGTAATCTCGTCCATACCAGGGGATTAACATTCCTTCGAGTTTTTAGTTCCTTGAAAATCGCCTCTTCTTGAAGCACAACAATTTCAATAATGGACGCTCCAATGCTTTCTTAACTAGTTGGGACGCAATCCGTGGCTCAAGGGCAACTCGTAGTATAATACATTGCAGCAGGGCAATGAATGTGAAAGTCCCCATGCCGAAGCCAGTACGTCATACGTAAATTTATGTCCACATCCACAAGGTCGGATGAGAATCCGTCTGACGTCGGTGCGCCATCAGCCGTCGGTAGAACCACAGTGGCAACATGTCGTTCTAGCGCTGGCGGGGCAATAAAGTGCTCATCAGTAAATCGTAAGCAAAATATCGTAGTAAGGGATGTCCCAGAGTCCACGTCCTGCATTCCGAAGGAACAAGTGGCACATGGTCTAAACCTTCTTCATGAATAGAACAGTGCCGTACTGACCCAGGCCGTGTCCTGGAAACATCCTCAAGACACCTAAAGGTTATTTCAGGAAACAAAGCCCAGGTAGCGCTCCTCTTAGGTATACGAATGGCCTTACGGAACCCGCACAAAAAGTGTTTTTTTTAGCCAGGCTAGGAACCAAGGGAAAGACTGAAATGAGGGAACTGAGAACAAAATTGAGAGAAGGAATTGGCAAAGGGGAGAAAGGGGTGAATACCAAAAATGGCCAAATAATGCAGACCATTGTGTTTTTCCTGTGATCAAAAGCTGTCACAAGTTATAACAAGATTTTCCGCAATTTACCCTTCGTTTTCGTTTATGTCGATGATTCTCTAGTTGCAAGTTCCGGTGAATGGTAACACCTACAACACTTTCATCTAATTTTTGAGCGGTTGGGCCAATTTGATGTTTTTATAAACGTCTCCAAATGCGTTTTTGGCGCTCCCTTGCTCTTGTTCCTACGACATTGCGTAGATGCATTCGGTTGTCATCCCATAGACGCTAAACTTTTGGCTATTTGCGAGTTCCGTACTCCCACTTCTCTCTGACAACTGCACCGTTTCATAGGTTTTGTCAGCTTTTACCGACGTCCCATCCCACACTGTTCTCAACTAATGTCACCCTCACAAATCTTTTACGGGGCAGAAACCCCGAAATTTCTTTCCCTGACACAGCCTTGGGCGCTATCCAAATTGCCAAAGAGACCCTTGCGAATACAACTGCCCTTTCCTACTCTCTAACTGATGCTCCGCTGTCCATTGTTGCTGACGCCTCCAATTTCGCCGTATATGCGGCCTCCTATCAACAGACCCCGACGGGCATCCAACCACGATCCTTCTACTCTGCAAAACTGACACCCCCAATCTTGTTATAGCCCGCTTGGTAGGGAACACCTTGTCATTTATCTCGCCATTAAGAATTTTCTTAACTTTGCTGAAGACAGATTTTCGTGCTTACACTGGCCATAAACCTCTTACTTATGCGTTCTCCATTCCCTCTGACACGTATTCGCACCGTGAGGTCTGCCATCTTGATTTTTTCTCCCAGTATTCGACAGATATTCGATTTCTTAAAGGAACCTCCCATCAGGAACTGACTGTCTATCCCGACTTGGAATTAATGCCATCATCCACCTCTCCAACGATCTAGAACACGTGCGGAGCTGCAGCAGCCGAAATGTCCTGAACAACTAACCCATACTTGCCTTCAGCTTAAAGCCATTCCTCTGTTTGCCACTTCTAGTATAATCTTGTGCGATGCGTCTCGCGGTTCCTCTCGCCCTATGGTGCCAAGCAAGATGCAACGAGATGTTTTCACCATGCCACATAATCTCTCCCACCCAGGCAACCGGGCTACTCAGCGCCTCGTCAGTGATCAGTTCGTCTGGCCCAGCATGAACACTGATATCCCCCAGTGGACTGGCCAATGTTTAACCTGTCAAAAAGCAAAAAATCGAAGGCCACAACAAAGCCGCGATTGAGATTTGTCTTGCGCCCGATGCATGCTTTTCGTATGTGCACGTGGATCTCGTGGTCCCTTTGTCAACATCCTGTGGTTGGAACTGTTTGCCGAGTGCTACCGACCGATTTACGCGATGGTCAATTGCAACTTCGATCCCAAACATCGCTGAAGATACTGTCGCTCGTGACTTTTTGGAACACTGGATGCCCCATTATGGCGTCCCCACT